GACTCTGCTGGGCGGAGCCACGTCGTCCTCCATCCTGTGAAAAACATCAAAAACACACCGAGTTCGTCGAGCTCCTCAGGTGTCAGACAGTGACGTCGTTTGTTCCTAGCAGACGACCTCCCAACCTTGCTCGCTTTGAATCCGATTCTTCTGATCCTCCCTCCACGCCTCCAGGCTGGCTCGGCCCATCAGCACCCCTCTCTTCTTCTGTGGCGGTGGAGCTGCAGCGTGGCCAGCTCTCGGTACTTCCTGTTTCTGACGCCTGGACAAACACAAGGCATTAAACCAGCAGGAGCTGGGGCTGCTGATGGGGAGGCGGAGTCTGTTTTGGGTACCTGCTGGGGTGGAGCCGGCCTCCTCTGAGCAGCACAGACAGGGAATCGAACCCTCGCCAATGCACTTCCTGCAGTGGGTATAAAACACCTGCAGGTGGAGACCAACATGTGAAGCAGCGTTTATCAGCAGCACCCACAATGCATTTCACCTTCTATAAGTTTATCACACATCCAAATCCACGACAGACGTCTGAACCGTCACACCTGCTCTGAAAGACCTGACGTGTGTCAGGTTCAAGTCAGAGAAACAACACCTGACACAGGTAACTCACCTGTCTGTCCTCTGTGGCTGTTTGACCATGATGAAGGCGTGCTGACCTCTGACCTCTCAGCAGCTGTACCTGCAAAGATGAAGTTTCTCCTCTGACGTCATATATGAATGTAAAGCAGTTTTCTTACAGATTCATAACGTGTCTGAATGATTTTAATATGAATTCTGGGAATCAGCCGATAAACAAACCAGCTTTAAATCAGCACATTAAACAGAAATCTGGCACTAAATCAAACCGCAGTTGCAGGACAAGCAGAGGGAGGAGACTTTTGTCATTTCCAAGTCTTTAACGTTACAGGCTTCACTTCTGTCACGGAGCTCATTACAAACCTCGAAGCGTAAAGCCGCGGAGAATCAGGTCTGCTGTTTAGTGTGTAAGCCGAATTAAAACCGGGCCTTTAGCGACTCGTAATATGTCTTTATAAATTTCTTATCTGAAACTTTACTCAATCAGCAACAAAACAAACAATAAATTAGCACATTTTCAACAGAGACATCCCACTACTAGCTATTAGGCTAAGGCTAACAAGCTAAACTAACGTCTCTAAACAAACACAGTCTGACTTTAAACTTTTTCCTCTATCATCCTGTTTGAAGACACGAACTAGGTTTAATAATCAGAGTTTACACGTTTAAATTGAACTCCAGGTTAGTTTAGCTCACCTTAATGTTCAGCAGATGCTAAAGCTAGCTCAGTTACAAGTAAACAGACTGACGATGATACTTGTCTTCTGTCGCCCCCTGCCGGCGCGGAGGAAGACATGCGGCCAGCTGAGGAACTACAGGGTTCAGAGGTACACGGAATCATCTGTGCACGTTTATATTTGTGCTGTTTTCTGCTACAGTCGGCTTTTCAGAATTTGCATCTCCTCAGATGTCTTTTTTCTGTGTTTCTGTTTCTTCCCAGTCACCAAAAACATTTAAGAAATAACAGATGGGCTGCAGATTTATCCAATAAATTCAGCTAACAGCAAGAAAAAGTAAGTAAACAGCATAAAGAGCAAAAATGCAGTTTGTGTTTTTAATTTTTGTTTAATTTTTAATGTATTGTAAATATTGTGCATAATAAAAATAAATTTAAATAAAAAGTGATTTTTTTTTATAACTTTTGTGTATTTTACTTTATTTCACAACAGTTTTGGATTACATTGGTGATCGATGTGCATCACCCCTAAAATAAAACAAAATAGAATCTGTGCCTAGGCTGCGTATATTTGCATGTAGCAGTGAGTAGAACAATAAATGAAGTAGAGTTCTTTCTTCAGCTGTGTTTCGTGGCCTCTGATTGGCTGGTCTGGAAGTCTGGTAGTTATTTGCAGCTTGTGGTAAATCTGCTGGAATTTCCTGGAGACGAGCCGCAGTGTGTCGCAGACAGGAAGCACTTCCTGAGATGATCTCTCAGAGATTTATGGCGGAATAAAAGCGTCTGTGAGTGTGAACGGTAATCACTGCCGACTGTTTCTGACAGAGAGCAGCAGACGTTAGATTTCATCTTTCTGCTGTGTCACGCTGGGCTCAGCTGCTGTAACGTCTCACAGTCATCATCCCAGCGCTGATGGATGAACAGCTGAGGTTCTGATCCTGGACAAATGCAAGACTCCTGGAGGTCGTCATTATTTTGATATGAGTGACGTGATGATGCCAATAAGCAAAGCAGCTGATGTCTTTATAGCAGCACACACACACACACACACACACAGTTGTTTTCATATCTTAGTGGGGACATCTAACCGACATAATGCCTTCAGTGCTGCTTACTCGAACCATAACCTAACTGTAACCCTGACACTAAAACCACATTTCAAAAACAAAGTACTGAGCTTTAAGCGTGATGTTTTGGGCTGCAGGACCTCCTGAAACAGGCCGGACTGAACCAGATTTAGATTCTTGGAAGCCGGAGCTCCTCTGAGACAGCAGCTGGAATGAAATCCTCTCCATGCATCCGTCTGACATTCACAGGAAACTGAAGCAACATGTGGTGAAACTATCAGCCAGAAGCAAAGCCAGGTCAGCTCCAGCTGCTCTGAAGCCTCCACGTTCAGGCTCCTCAGCACCGTTAGCCTTCAGGACTGAAACGTGAAGCACCAAAGCCTGCAGTTCCTCTAGCATCCAGCAGAGGCAGTAGTGAGTCAGTCCACACCAGTGACTGTAGAAAACATGGGCTGTATCCCAATTCAGGGTCTGCAGCCTTAAAGGCCGCATTTTAAGGCCGATTACGGCATTAATTAGTTAGATGACTTCTAACTAATAGCCTGCTAGCTAGCTTCTAACCAAGCTAGCTAGCAGGAGTTGATAACTCCCTCTCTTGCCCAAATAAATTCATTTGAGGTTGCAAGAACCCAAAATGGTACTAGCCCAAACTGAAACGCCCCTTTTTAGACTTAACTGGGCAAGCACTGCCCGCCCTGCTTGCCCAGACATGCAGGAGGAAAAACTGTCTACAACCTCAGTGCTATGAATGAACATGTCTGTTAGAGGCCAGAGGTCAGTTTGTAAACCTTTATTCATAATTTTAAAAAAAGTTTCACACAACAGATCTGACAGCAGACGCAGGCTCGGACGCCCAGCACGCCAAGTGTCCACGTCACTGCCCCGTGTGATGTCAGAGTAATGTTCGCATACACAGAGAAGAAGAAAAAATGAGAGACGCCTGTACAGAGGAGGTGACATCATGACGCTCAGTAGATGTCCTCGTCATAGTCTGCGATGTCCATCGGCTGCTTCCTGTCACTGTGAGCCAGGTAGGACGCCAGCTCCTCTGACGGCGCCACAGACAGGTGGAGACAGAGACACGTCAGTGAGACACACCCGAGTCTTTCAGTTTCTGTTTCTCCCATTTCAAACGCCTGTCTCACCTGCTCCCAGCACTCCCAGTACAGCCGAGGCCGAGGCCGCCCCCAGGTCGTTACGAGCTGTGCAGCGATAGGTCCCAGAGTCCCCCGTCTCCGCCCCCTCAATCTGCAGCCAGCTGGAGAGCTCGAACTTCAGAGGACCGCCTCGAGACTGCGAGAGAGACAATCAGACAGGAACTGAAATCTGTCCCGGAGGGGCGGGGCCGCAGGCTCAGGCGCACGTGTACCTGGACGGAGATGTGCGGGTCGTCTCCGGGCAGGACGACGTCTCGTCCCTCCTTCGTCCACTCGACCATCGCCATCGGAAACGCAAACACTTCACAGAGAAAGATGAGACTGCTGCCCGACCCGTTCACCTGACTGCGAGGAGGCACCTTGATGACCGGCACTGCACAGGTGAGAGAGGTTAGTGTGTGTGTGTGTGTGTGTGTGTGTGTGTGTGTGTGTGTGTGTGTGT